AAAGCGATCAAAGAGCCGAAGCCCATCTCCAGAGAGAAGAAGATCTGGTGGCAGCGTTGATCCATGTTTGAGGGTTTGCCAACTGCTCCAGCTAAACACACACGTGTTAAATGCACACTCAACTACAACACAACACTCAGAAACCAATGACTTTCTTACCTTGGGTGTGAACAAGTACTTCACTCCGTCCAGCCCCGTGAAGAGTGACCCCTCGGATCAGATAGATGATCAGGACCACGTATGGAAACGTAGCTGTGAAATACACGACCTGTGGAGGAAAGTCAAAGGTACAATGGGTTTGGAACTACGAATTATAAAAATTAGCTGGTTTCTCTAAAATATTTCTGTCATCAAAGCATCATTATTACTCCAGTCTTTAATGTCACATGATCCTTCAGAAATCACTCTAATCTGCTGATTTGGTGCTAAATAACACATTTCTTATTTTTATTAACGTTAAACACAGTTGTGCTGCTTCATATTTTTTGTGGAAACTGATTCTTTGATGAATAGAAAGTTCAAAAAGAACAGCATTTATTATCAATAGAATTTTTTTGTAATATTTATTCATTTAATAAATGCCTTTTTGATCAATTTAATGTGCCATTTATTTATTTTTCTTCTTCTTTTAAATATTACTTGCCACAAACTTTGAATGGCAGTGTATCATAATTAAAAAAAGAAATAAATTAAAATTAGCTCAACATTGATATTAATAAGAAATGATCTTAGAATGATTTCTGACTGGAGTAATGTTGCTGAAAATCAGCTTTGATCACATGGAATAAATTACATTTCAAAATATATTACAAAAAGAACCAGTAAATCTAAATTGTAATTATTTCACAGTATTACTGTTTTTACTGTATTTTTAATCAAATAAATGCAGCCTTCTTGAGCAGAAGAGACTTCTTTCAAAAACATAAAAAAAAAAAAAAAACTTAACGTTTGACCGGTATCATATACCATCATACACTTCATAAAAACATATAAAGCTGCTTTGAAACAGCACAAAATCCAACAAATCCTGTTTGTTTTCTGTTTACTTCTTTTGCTGTTAGTCACCAGTTGAGAACCAGACGGTTTAGTCTCAC